TTTGTACTATAGGATCCGACTTGATCGCTACCCTTCCCGAGACCCACACTGGGAATTTTCTTATAGATACAGTAAATGAATTTGTACTGTTCATTATCTATACTGTTTTAGAATTATGATTTCATAAAGGGATAAAGGTAAAGTCCCCATGCTCCTGACTGATCAATACATTACTGAGGATTGAACACATTCAGAGAACACCATAGGACATTAACCAAAGAACAATTTAATGAATAAATTCACACTACTACTAAATCATTTAAACTAACAGAGGTATTCAATTGCCAGATTGTGCAATGCATTGTAGAGTGGGAAAGAGTACAGTAGCAGAGAGAATTCGATTAGGACCCTACATAATACTACTCAAAACAATAATGTACAAAAGACATCGGCTATTCAATGGGTGACCATGCATGCTAATTCAATTAAAATCAATTTTTACTGGTATTAGAAAAAACTTTGGTACAATAGGCCTGCAATGTATTTAATGATGCAACATGCATGAGCGTACTACAGTACCACCACTGACCAATGTACAAATGATGCAATATGCCATGCATTAATCACCCACAGTGCACAGGTCACACACAAAGAATGAAGGAATGGAACCCAACAACAACTGTTGGCATTGTGTTTAAAATTAAAGCATACTGTAGTTGCACATTTTTTATAAATGTCCATGCTTCACACAGGTTAAATTTCCAATGTGCATCGTTTCTATCTCATTACAGTAACTGATCCAGGGTTTTTTTTATCAACATCACAGTACTGTTATGATTTTTGTGTCTTAATTACTGTAACAAAATCTTTCTTTTTTTCTCCAGAGCCTGGTATTTTAACACATTGAGTGCCAGACCCTTATTTTAAGTAGTGTCGCTGGATGCCAGTCTTTTACTGTAAGATAATTTTGCCTACCTACATGAAAACTGATTTGTTGCATACCACAGCAAAGAGCAATAAAAAGATGACTACTTTGCAATTTAAATCAATAATAAAATTACCAAATATCCTTTTCAGCTACAGTACTATAGTAATACCCATTCCCCCAGTTTTGACTACCTTTAGAAAGTTGGATCACATCTTAATGTAAACCTACTTTATCAAGATCAACATGGTATGTATTCAATAAGCCAAACTTTATTTACATAGAATTTCTTCATGTTGGTGTTAAAAATGCTCATGAAATAGCAAGCATATAGACATTACAGTACAGTACTAGAACAGTGTTGTGATACTATTAATATTTCAGTCATAACTACAGAGGTTTCTACAATATGAATGTACTGTAAAGAGTAACAGGTCAATCAGAAGGCATCAGACTTGGCAGATTACCAGCAATCACATGCCAGACGTAGTAGACGTAACACGCATTTTTGCTTTACTCATTGAGCTTTCAATTTATAAATTCATAATTTATTTGGAACTTCAACACACTAAAGTACATTACATCCATACTTAGTTTAAGAAGTAGGATTGTTTGTCTTTAGTTACCCTAGGGTTAGGTTAATTACTTTCTTGCTGATCCGTTTTTCATGTTTATGTTAAGCACATTGAGGTCTCTATAATATGCACTCCATAAGTAAACCTTTGTATTATTATTATTATTATTAGGGTTGGCGATTAAAAGGTTGCCAACCTAATAATAATAATACAATGGTTTACTTATTATTAGGTTGGCAATTAAAAAGTTGCACAAAGCTAAAACGGAAACAATTAGAACAACAAAATATTAATTTCATGAAGAAGGTAAACTACAGTACAGTATATGTCTCAGAAGTGCTGACTCACCCTAATTAATAATAATGGCAAAAAATTAGAAGTCTGCCACTGCATCAACATTTACATTAAGAATCAAAATTTGAAAAAAAAAATATTTAAAAATAAACTGTTTATGTGGATGTACAGTAGCTTTTTGGAACACTTTTCATTTTAATTTCAGAGGCACCACTGTGTCTACTGTGAATATAAAGCTGCAATTGCAATGGACATCAATAAAAAAGGCAAGATTTTTTCCAAGATAACAATACTGTAATAATAATAATAATAATAATATTTATTCGGCAAAGTAAAAAGTATACATACAATATTCTTGCCAGGAGTAAGTACTGTTTGGGCATAAGCCCAAACAGTAAACTGCTCTTACTCTATCATATTGGCTAATATTGGCAAGATATCATCATATTGGCAAGATATTTGGCTAATTCAGATAGAAGGGGGTGGGATTAAATAATTCTCTGCCTCGACCACGAAAATTATCTCGATCAAAAGCCTCCAGGACCAAATGTTATCTTTATTATGTTTATTTATGTTTATCTTATTACTAAGTATTATACTGTAGCAAAACAGTAGTACTGTACATTTAGTGGTTTGGAGCAAGCAAAAATATAATATTTAAATGCATTAAATTGTTATGTGTACTGTAAACAAATGGGGTTTTTTTGTAATTTTTGTTTTTGTTTTGTTTTTTCTAAAATGCCTTCGGTGTAATGGCCAATGCCTTCGACCGCTAGTCGGTCACTTTTTCCAGCCCTAAAAGTGGCAATTTTTTATCACTTCATGCCTAATACAGAGTAATAAAAGTTTTAAAGCTACTCATTCAAACCATACAGTATCCTGGGCTGTTGCCAGAGGAAAAGTTGATACATAAAATTTGGCATAAAGTACAGTAAACCGGTTTTCCACTAGGCGAAATTTATTCGCGCGAATCGAAAGCATCGGTTAATGCGCATGCGTATTCACATAGGAGTTTTCCTATAGGAGTTTTTGCAAAGCAAAAAAATGTGCAACCAATCAGAGCTCAGGAAACGAACCGACACTTTAATTCGCGTGAATAAATTCGCCTAGTGGAAAACCAGCTTCATACTCAAGGTGGGTTTGTACCAGAGGAACATACTGTAGTATTTTTTATTATTACCCAAGAAAACATTATTTTTTAAATAATACACATTAAAAGATAACATACAATAAATCATAATTATCATAATTATTATAGCATTGCAATACTTTAGAGTGCACTGTATCAATTTACATAATAATTATTGATTTAAACTTAAAGTGCTAGTGTGAAGCTAGATAATGATCAATCATTCAAGGTATATTTATTCAGAAAAACATAAAAAATTGTACAGTACATGGCAGCCAATTGAGACAATTGTACAAAATCATAAACGCATTTGAAGATAAGACCAGCGACCTATCAAAACCAAACATAGACTATCTGTCTTTTGGTCCAGTGGAAGTATCCAATCAGATCAAAGAAATCATACTGTGGAAATATAGCCAGCCAATCAGAGATTCACTGTAGCTATTGGAGATTCAAAGGAATGTGGAAATTAATTGTTTAAATCTTTACTCAAACACATGTGCCTGGTGTGATTCAAAGAAAATGGAATGGCCTACTGTTTATGTTGTTATCGATGATAGTAAAAAAATATGTTAATAAATGTATTTAGCTCCTATTTCCTCTAAGTTTTCAATCATCTTTTTGGCAAGTAGCCAATATCTATTTACGTAAGCAGACTGGAAGGAAGCCAAGTGAAATGATTACAATACTGTAAACCCAACATGGCAAATGTTAATAACACCCGTACATTCTTACTCTACTGTACTCGTGCTCATTACCAATAGAACGCTGGAAACTGCAGATTAAGCAAACCAGCAGATTATTATACTGTGCAGTCGTATATAAATATAAAACTGTACAGCAGTAGGCCCCTACTACTGAAATCATAAAAACAAACCAACAATCAGTATGGACAACATGCTTTTGTTTAACACTCAACACACACACAAAAAAACAGAACTAAAATAAGACACCATTTAAAATGTTACTATTTCATACAGTTTTTCAAAAAAAAAAAAAAAAACTAAATAAAGACATTTTTTACTCAAGTTGAAAAAAAAAAAAAATCTAATCAATAATGTTTTGGCTGAGTTTTAAAATAAGAATTTTTATACCCTTGGATTGAGTATATAATTAAATATCCAGACCATGGTAGATTTCATTGTATGTCATATTATTGCGGATTTGCTATCTTTATCTTTTTTATATCATTCCATTGTGAATGTGCAACTAGGCCTAACCTTTATGTAGTCTTTTAGGCTGGTGTACAACAGTTGCTGGCGGCCACTTCAAAGCCCATCCCCTAGGGCAGGTGCCCGAAAATGTGTTACAAATTTACAATTTGTAATAAGGTAGGTATTCAAAACATAATGCTTTTTCATGCTCTCTTAAACATTCACACAATTCAAAAACGGTTTACTAAATCTCTATTTTAGGGTCTATTCAAAATCAACGTATTATTATAGAGCAGCTAAGATAGTATAATAAATACTCCAAGTATCGAAATGCACGCCACCGTGTCGGCCTATTTACGATTCCAGGCACCAAGCCGTGGCCCAACAGCCCAGCCGCGCCAGGGACTAACATACCAAATCCTGGCAAGAAGTTTTGTTCATGAAGCCTCCATGTATAATATTTTGACATCATTATCTGTTCTCTTAGTGATAAAATGTCATTGTATACAAATTAAATATTATTTTATTAAATATATAATACCGTACATTTGTGTTCCCACCTCCGACAATTGTTGATTTTTTTTTTTACCACGATTCAACCAAAAACGGTTCAGTCACACGTCATTGATTTCTGCTTCTTCTTTTACACACACTCTGTTACTCCGCAACTTTGAAAGACTACCTTACTATACAAGTATTATGTTTAGTAATAAATTTTTAGTTTTAGTATAAAAAATGTAGGGTGGTCTTGGGATTTGGTTTTTAAGTAGAGGGTTCCCTTTGTGTTTAAAGACTATTAAAGATAGTGAGTTGGTACTCTGAAAAGTGGTCTTAATTACAGAGAGATTTTGGAATTTCGAACTGGAATGTACTATATTTTCAGGCCCACGTCTATATAAAAGAATGTGTTAGTTCCGTGTTTAAATTTAATGCCCTGTCACTCATTAATTATCGATAAAAGATAATATAATTTTCCAACTTACAAATGCAGAGAGCAGCAAGTAACCGGATAGCGCTTTCAGGGCTTCCACAATCAGAGCCAAAGAATGGTTCCAGAAGGTATCTACCAAAGGTGATCGCAACAATAGCTTGGGCTGTCGGCCTGACAATCAAGATTGTTACCCACAACAAAAGGAAAGCAGGTAGTTGCCCAAAAGCCCTGAGGAAGTATGCATAGTCTCCGCCGGACATCTTTATTGCAGTACCAAGTTCCCCGTAACACAAGGCTCCAACCAGCGAAAAGACACCGCAAAATGTCCAAACTAGAAGTGAAAGTCCGACTGATCCTGTGTTTGAGAGGACAACCTGCGGCGATATGAAGATACCGGAACCAATAATGATTCCAATAATGATGGTGACACCATTGACGAGACTCATGGTTGGCTCAAGAGTGATACGGTCTTTGGAAGTTGGGGCACCGTTTGGTACTTCTGGAGTAAAGAGGCTCGTTTTAGGGTTAGGAACAGCTGCAGGTTTGCTTTCCCCATCACCTTCTCCTTTTCCAGGTTGGATCACTTTTGTTTCAGTATCATCAGCCATTGTTGTGGGTTTATACCTAGGTCAATCAACTACCGTATTCCTTCACTCCGTCCTACAGAATATAGCATATAAAAATATAAATTAACATTAATATACTTTCATAAATTATTCGATTCTGAATCAATATTTTGGCAAGGCAATCCTTTCCCTGGAGTAGCTATTTAGGCTACTATTGGCTTAGGCCTTCCTACTGCAGACAGGGGCATCAAGAAGCTACCTCATGGTTTGGCTTAGTTTCAGTGGCGGCTCTAGGATATATTTTCGGTGGTAGATGTGTATAAGAGACAGCTGAGCTGTCCGACAGGGGAGACTTGAGCTCGTAGGCCCGAGACTGGGGGAATGGTTTGAGAGGGTGTTCCCCCTCCCAAATGAATTTTTTTAAAGAATAGGAATCTCTGGATGGCCAACTAGGCCTAGGCTAGATGACACTCTCAGACTGTGACAGACATGTGTTGGCTTGGCGTGGGCCTATTTTTTTTATTTTTTTAGTCCGACTGCCCGAAAAACTCTGTCCGAAGGGGAGGGGCTCGACCTGTCCGCTGGGGGGAGCTTAAGCCCCTGCTGCCCCATCTCCCTCCCTCGCCCACTGGCGCCGCCACTGCTTAGTTTAGGCCCCATAAAAAAATTATTAGTTTATCACCCGCTCCCTCATCACTTCTGGGAAAAATCAGATTTTTTTTTTTCAATCAACATATATTTTCATTTTAAACGGTCCTTTTCCATCTTTTTTCATTTGAAAAGCTCAGGGTTTCTTGCAAATGTGCTTAGTGGTAGTACAAAAAAAAAATGTTTTTTAAATATAAATTTGATTATTTATATGTCTCTATAATAACCATTGATTTACTTGTGATCATCGGTAAAATGGGGGCGGGATTAGCAAAAAATAAATAAAAAATCTCCCTCCCTCATCAGTTTTTTCACTTTGATGGGGTGATAAACTAATAATTTTTTTTATGGGGCCTTAGAGTAGGGCATACTGTAGGCCTAGATAGGCAAAATCAAATTATTTTCTTGTGCACCAGAAACACATGTGAGACCACATGTGATAGGCCTAGTATAGAATTTTTATTTCATTTTTGAAAATGGAACGCAGAGCTTAGGCCCTGTCTCTTATACACATCTAGATGTGTATAAGAGACAGGAATAGGAATCTCTGGATGGCCAACTAGGCCTAGGCTAGATGACACTCTCAGACTGTGACAGACATGTGTTGGCTTGGCGTGGGCCTATTTTTTTTATTTTTTTAGTCCGACTGCCCGAAAAACTCTGTCCGAAGGGGAGGGGCTCGACCTGTCCGCTGGGGGGAGCTTAAGCCCCTGCTGCCCCATCTCCCTCCCTCGCCCACTGGCGCCGCCACTGCTTAGTTTAGGCCCCATAAAAAAATTATTAGTTTATCACCCGCTCCCTCATCACTTCTGGGAAAAATCAGATTTTTTTTTTCAATCAACATATATTTTCATTTTAAACGGTCCTTTTCCATCTTTTTTCATTTGAAAAGCTCAGGGTTTCTTGCAAATGTGCTTAGTGGTAGTACAAAAAAAAAATGTTTTTTAAATATAAATTTGATTATTTATATGTCTCTATAATAACCATTGATTTACTTGTGATCATCGGTAAAATGGGGGCGGGATTAGCAAAAAAAAAAAAAATCTCCCTCCCTCATCAGTTTTTTCACTTTGATGGGGTGATAAACTAATTTTTTTTATGGGGCCTTAGAGTAGGGCATACTGTAGGCCTAGGCCTACCTAGATAGGCAAAATCAAATTATTTTCTTGTGCACCAGAAACACATGTGAGACCACATGTGATAGGCCTAGTATAGAATTTTTATTTCATTTTTGAAAATGGAACGCAAAGCTTAGGCCTAGTAATAAATAGTAAGTTTCTAGGCCTATAGGGCCTCATGTCCTTGGCTGTTAAGTTTGTGTTGGTCTATCCCTAGTCTCCTTTTAATAGGAATCAAATTTTAATAATGCCATATGTTTGGTTTGCCTCAAAAAGCCGGCTACACTACTAGCATACCTTACAAACAAGGCTGTCGCTAACATCGGACAAGTTCAGCTTGCCAACAAGGGCTTACATATAAACACGCTATAAATAATTCCAAATCAAAAAGCAATCCTAAAATATATGCTAATGGTAAATAACTGTACAGTTAAAACAAAAAAATATGATGTAGGGCCTAGGCCTACAATACCTCAATTTTGCTCCGCTTGTATTGGTAGTAAACAAACACACACGTTTTTCCTGAACAAACACGCTTTCAGTTAGCCGCATATAATGCTATGAATGAATTTTCGTTGCTTTGTTGTGATCTACTACTACACACGCGCAGATCTGATGCCGCTGCCGACGATGAATATTGCGTCATTTTCCTGAAAAGAACGTCAGCAATTGGTCAATTAATCGTTACGTCACGTACACCAAGCATTGATTGGTAGTGATTTTCAAAAAGGATTTTTTTTTTCATTGCATTTCATTTATTTGTCTCAAGCAATTAAAATGTACAAGGTTGGGGCTGAGGTAAGACAATTTATGATTATGGCACCTCAAAATGGCTGGAAATGGCACTCTCAGACAAACTTTAATTATGATTTTTCTTTTTTCTCCATTTCTTTTATAATTTTAGGGGGCTCTCGACCCCACTTCTTGAATCCACCACTGTGAACTTGTAATTTTTCATGTTCTTTACATCTGTAGGCCTACAGATGACATGGATCAATCTGCAATCACAGGAGCCGATAATTTCCAACAGATTTCGTTGCACATTATTAAAAAATCAACGGGTAGAAGAGCGTGCAAAAAAAAAATGTAATGCATTTTCGCGATAATTAGGAACGATTTTAGTGAAATAGTTTTAAAAAGTGGACTTTTTAAAATTTGGTGGTCCAGGGGTAGAGGCCTGATCTGGATGGGGTTTGTGAGAAATATTTCATTACAATTTTCATTAAGTTGGGTGTTTTTTGGACATGAACAAGTAACGTCATTATGTCCTGTACATCTGCAGGCCTATAGATAACATTCTTCATATTATATAGATCAATTTGCAATCACCGGAGACGATCAATTTCTAACAAATTTCATACCACATTATTAAAAATCAACGGTTAAATACTAGCTGGCAAATATGCAACACGCTATAGCATTTTGTGATGTAAGGAACGATTTTGTGAAATCATAGGTTTTAAAAAGTGGACTTTTTGGAATTTGGTGGAGGAAGGGGGGGGGGGGTTGCGTCAGCATCCCGCTGCAACCCTCTGCCTACGGGCCTGCTACGCCCGACATACAAAAATCCGACCAAAATTCCTCTCAAAATTCGGGGGTCGCGTCTTATACAAGTGTCGCATTACGCTAGTATATGTATAGGTTTGATCCTTTTAAATGAGCTACTCAATTTAATTGATGAAGGTACTGTATATTTATTTTAAAGGCAGATTTGAAGATTTAAAACTTGAAAAGGGAAAGGAGTAATTGGGCGCCTTGCCATTCTGAGCATTGTCTCCTTAGTCTTTATCTACCTTAGGTTTCCGGTTTACAAGGTTCGAAATCTGCTCAGGTTGTGGAACAACGAATTTAGGAAAATTCTAATAAATTCATGTACAAACAAGAGAGAATACTGGAAAGGGGTACACTGAGTGTATGTAGTTAGAGACCATCCGCCCCTCCTCATCTTAAGGCGCTCGCCCTCTCCCCCTTCTCCCCACCCCCTCCCACACGTTTCCTATATTAATCAGGTCTCGTAAACAAGGCGAGGAGAGTCAAAACATCTGCCAGCCCCGTGGCTAACTCGTTGATGGTGGGGGAGGGGTTGTTTCGGGGAGGGGGAAAGTGGCCTGCCTATTAGAAATGCCACGGTCACTTCGTTTCCTTCTTGGAGCTGAACTTGAAAATAGCACCCTTTCTTAGACAGTCATAGAAAAAATCGTGTTTTTCTAAGTTATAAATTTGACAGTATGCTCCTGACGTTTAATTTTAAATAGGCCTACATCAAAGGAGAGAATTAATACCAGGAGTACCACCGTAACCCACCTCACCCCTATACCATGGTTGGGGCTGAGAGGTGATTAAAAATCTATGGTGGAACAACACTATATGCCCATGATGAAATTGCATTCTCAGACTTAAAATATTTATTCTAAATTGTCTTAATTTAGCATGTCGTGGAGTTTTTTGTCGTAGATCAAATAATTTTGCAACTTGGAGAAAAAAGAGGCGTGTCAAATCCAGTGATCTCAGTGAGGCGAAGGATCCTGGAGCAGCTTCGAAGTCCGGAAATACCATTCTCAGACTCAAGTTTGTGAATTTATTTTCGACTGTATGTTATAATACCTAATGCTAATTTTCTTTAATTGGATGTGTGTTGATTTTGAAATAAATGATTAAAATGAATGAATGATATAATAGGGATAAAGTAGCCCCCACCCCACCCCACCGCGAACTAAGAATTTCAACTTCCACTTTGGTCTAGAATCCTCAAAATTGCACTCACAGAAGGGTTTAACGGTTTCCGAACGGTCTATACTTCGAATGACAGCCACAACCATGATTTTTAAATTGTGAACAAATTGCTAGAATAAGGAAATCTTATTATAAATGCAAGGAAGTGTACAGTAAGTTTAAAAAGTTATAAATAATAGGCCTACTTATAATCTTTAAAAAAATGACTTTATCTTTTAAATTAATTGTTGCAAAGAAAGACCGAGTTGTTGATAAAGCCCCAGCCTTTTAACTGTTTATTACGAGTCGTTCAGACCTACACCCATTTTAATTACATTGCGTGCTTGTTGATCATTACTCTTAACATCTTGTTTATGTTACATATCGGCAAGTTGACAAACCAAACAATGATAAAATCACTCATTAGCAACAAACAATGCCACAATCTAACTTTAAGGCTCTTAAAACGATAGGCCTATTACGGAAGCACCTAAGTGCCATTCGACTTGACTTGTCAAGATAATTATGTTGTCAAGTCGACATAATATACATATCATGTCGACATGGCGAGATAGATTATCTTGACAAGTCGACATACTAAAAATGTTTTGTTGTCATGACGAGATAGGTTATCTT